TCACGAAACGTCGAGGATCGGACGCGGATCTCTCTCGTCGATCCCCAAGTCCTCTCGTCGAACTTCCTTTTTTTTCGGCACGTGCCGCGCGCACGCCAAAAAAATAAATTAGAGGCCCTAAACTAATTTATCCGAATAAATTACTTAGGTGTGTAAAAAAAAAGGAAAACAAAAAGGAAAAACAAGATGAAAACAAAGGGAACAAGAGGGGAAATAGAGAGTTTCACTCGGGAGAGTATTGATCCGTCGTTTAGCCGCGACAAACGACGATAATACTGATCCATCGTCAAGCAACGATCGAAATAAATTACCGCAAAGCGCATAAATACGAATTTCTCGCCTACGAATAAATATTCAATTACATGCTGGTGTTTTTTTTTTATCTACAACAAAATAAACGTTCGAGGAAACGATCCGATCCGGACGTTGTCCCGTCTGCGATCATCGCGATCACATCGTGATCGGGACGCGGTCCTCGGGATCGATGGATCGCGTTGCATCGCGCGACACCCGACGACGCTAAATCGTCCTAACGCGTTGCGAACAATTAATATCGGCTCGCATAAACGCATCGTCGACCGATCTCGTACATGCTCGCCTCCCCGCAACGGGTTGCACAATTAATTACAGCTCGCGTACATCTAACGCGACCGGCTCCGCAGAAGTATAATACAATAAATTCTCCCTAATTCGCGCTCTCAGATTGCGCACGAACATTGGACAATTTGGGAAGAGGAGATACGATTATTATTATATAGCCTTTGCGGCTCGTTTTTATAGTTGCTGACCGTCATTGTATATTAATCAACGTAATGATATATAATAATAATATTATTATTATAATTATATGCGATACATATATATTAGTCAATATAATTATATAATAATATTATTATAATAATTATATATAATACATATATATTAATCAATATAATTATATGTAATAATATTATTATAATAATTATATATAATACATATATATTAGTCAATATAATTATATGTAATAATATTATTATAATAATTATATATAATACATATATATTAGTCAATATAATTATATGTAATAATATTATTATAATAATTATATATAATACATATATATTAGTCAATATAATTATATGTAATAATATTATTATAATAATTATATATAATACATATAATATAATATATAATAAATAATCGATAATTATACATAAATCATTATAATTATTATAACTATAAAAACGAGACGCAAGGCTATTTAATAATAATCGTATCTCCTCTCCCAAAATTGTCCATCGTTGCGCGCAATCAGAGCGCTAATTAGAGAGAAATTACTGTTAATTCTCGATTAATTCCAGTCGTTGCGAAGATTCGTGCGCCGAATTGAGGGGTTCACAGTGAAGAGACGATCCTCGTCGACGAATCGCCCCGAAAGCTCCGGCAAAAAATACGTCACACCTCGAGAGATCACATAAATAATTTCCTCGCGTCGAAGTCCCCGAACGGCGGGGGGCTCCTTTACGATATAAATACAACGAACGCGTTACATACTCGTGAAAACCATGATTTCGCTAAGCTACGTCAAAGAATCGGAACGCGATGCGATATGAGAACCGTCGACGATCTCGACAAGACGGGCGAGACCCTCGTGGATTTCGTTCCGAGGGAAATGAGATCGTCGTTACACACGGACAAGAATCGTTCTCGTTTCGCGCTCCCCTCGATCATTGTCCCCCGGCGTGTGCGTTCGAAGAGAAACCGTTTTTTTCTTTTTTCTTACACGTTTTGGTACACATATGTACAATTATATCACGAACGTAGAAAAACATAACGAAGGTGCGAGGGCTGGAGAGAGGAGAAGAAACTAAAGGGGGCCCTGGACGGGCCCCGGGGTGGGACCGCCGACTCGTTTAATAGCATAGATCGCGAAGGTTTGCTGATTACACGGTTCTCGGTTAGCTTGGTCTCGGGTTTCGTCTTATCTCACAGTCTGTCCCGTAGTTATGGCGCGTCTAGGAAATAACGGGTTCCCCGGATTATTCCAAGAAACTTTTTCCTTTGCGAAAATGCGATCCGCCGCTTCGTTTACGAGAGGTATTAACGAAAAACAGTGACCAATGAGATCCGCTGGCGCGCGGCGGCCGAGCCGATGGGCGGAACTGGGTCCCGCGCGCTCGTTGGCCGGCCCGTCTCGCTCGCCTCTCATTGGTCGCCGTTTTTCGCCAATAACTCGTAAACGAAGCCTCGGATCGCATCTTCGCAAAGGAAAAAGTTACTCCAAATCACCTCAGGAATCTCTCGTCTCCCGGATACGCTATAATTTTAGGAGACCCTGTATATTTCGTCGACAATGAAAGAAGTATAGGTCTCCGCCTATTCGAACTCTCAGAACAGCCGAGTAACAGCGACTTGGAATGTTTGTTGGTTGCCGATCCGAACAGTTCCCCGTGTTCTTCCGGTGAACACCAATGGAAGCCCCAGTCCACTTCCACCGTGATCAATGGGCGATGATCAACGTCGCCCAAATCGATCGATCGATCGGCTCTCGCGACGGAACGATCGCCTAACAGCCTCCTCGATCTCCGAGCGATCGTGTGTCTCCATCGGTAATCGACAGTCGTCGTTGAATCATAGTTAAAAGCGTTACCGGCGGCTTCGTCTGACCGGTCGCCGCGCGGCTTCGATCTTCGATCCCAGACAACGAAAACTCTTCTTGGTGCAACAGTGTTAGGATCTCTCGATTCTGCTTGGTCGTGTGTTCGTTGAAGGTTCGGACAGACGCGGCGTCTTTGATTCTCACGATTTGGCAGCGATTCCAGTAGAACGCGACAGCGTAGAAGGTCTCCGGCGTAGGTCGATCGACCGGTCTCTCTCTCTTCGTGATCGCAAAGATCGCGCCATCGGCTGGTCGCCTTTCAGCCGTGATCTGCGCGAACTGATCCGGGTCGTCGAACGGTTCGCGAATCGTTCGACCCAGTCGACTGCGATTCGGGTAGCATCATTTCGTCCTAGACCCATGCTCGATTATCATCCTACTGCCGATACTACTGGTGAACAGTCTTTCCTCTACGTCTACGTCGCTTAACTGATTACGAAACTGGTCCTGACGGCCGCAGAACCGTCTGCGATTCGATAATTCACGGCTCGCGAACGCGAGGCTCGGGGCTTCTGGTTGACGCAGGTACAAAAGTCCGATCGTTCACGCCGAATCCGGGTCAATGTTCCGGCGTTTCGTCAAATAGAAGATCGATCGGAGGCGTCTTTCTCGCGGAGCATCGATTGGAAGATTGCGATCGAGGGATCGAAGGTACGTAATTTCCGCGCGAGAAAGCAAGTCGACGAGAAAACACGAGCCTCGTTCGCGTCTCCTTCGTTGATTCAACGGTCATCGCGGCGATCCTCCTTAACTATACCGAACCTAGGCTACCAATACGCTCCGTTACATCCTCCAGATTACGCAGTTCGCACCGCAAATCCCCGAATCGACGGTAAAACAGCGATGTTCCCTGAATTGCTATATATATATATATATATTGTAGAAACCGGTTCGAAGAGGATCCGGTTTAATTAATTGTTGAACTAACGGTTAAGCTTAACGGTCAGCCTGATAATGGTTAAATAGCTTCTGCGTCAAGATGGCGGACTCGTCGGCCGGAGCCACTGGAGAATTCGGTGAACGTTCTTCTCTTCGGCATTGTCGAATAAATAGTCGCGGAAAAGCGAACGAAGTAGCTATAGTAGGCGAGCAGTCTGTAAGACTGCTTTTGAAGCCGAAAGGCTGCTCGGGAAACCGGTGGCATCGAGGGCCTTATATCGTCCGCCATGTTGATCAGAAGAATCCACGTTGTTCCCGGAGTTTATACCATTTCTGTCAGTGATAGGGAGAGAGAGAGAGAGAGAGAGAGAATTGTGGAACTTTTGAATAGGTCTGCTCAGTGCCTTCTTACAGAACATTATGATTCCGGTGGGAGAACAGAGGAAGTCAAGTTAGTGAATCTAAAAACTTCCTCATTTATAAGTAAACAGCGGATTTTACGCATTTATGGCAATTGAAAAATGTCACAATTTAAAATAGTAGAAACGTGAAAAGAATTTCATAAAGACAGTGTATTATTTTGGAACTGTTGCGATTATTATTACAGAAAGAAAGAAAGAGAGATCTTGTTTAGTTTCTATTTCTTGAAATTCGCACAGATATAATGTTTATTTTCCATAAAAATCCGCAGTCTATTGACAAGATAATCCTAGATCTGTCGACCTTTAAAAGCAAAACTGGCACGCGCAGTTTAATAAATAATTGGACTGCGGATCTTCGTGGAAAATAAAAATTGTCCGCATCAAATTTTGAGAAACAAAATACGCTTGGAAACGTTATTCTCCCTTTAATAAACCGAACGAGCACAAGATACTGTGTTAATATCCTTAAAAAATTATTTAATCACAATTTTCAATTCGACTTACTCGTTTCCGTCACGAATGCACAAAATCCGCACAGTCTGTTAACAACAATGACGAGATAATTCGATAATCCTAGGGCTGGAATCGCACCTTTTTTTAGAGACACAATTACCGTCATAAATGCATAAAAACGGCGGCAATTAATAATACAATAATAATAACGACAAGAGGCTACTGTCCAAGGTCATCCGAATTTGATAATCCTAGCATTATAATTACCGTTACGATTACCGTCACAAATGCATAAAATCCACCGTCAATTGATAATAATAATAATAATAATAATAATAATAATAATAATAATAATAATAATAATAATAATAACGATAATAATAACGATAAGACGTAACTGTCCAAGGTTATCCAAATCCCATAATCCAAGAATCATAATTACCGTCACAATTTCCGTTACAAATGCATAAAATCCACCGTCAATTGATAATAATAATAATAACGATAAGACGTAACTGTCCAAGATCATCCGAATCCGATAATTCTAGAACCATAATTACCGTCACAATTTCCGTCACAAATGCATAAAATCCACCGTCAATTAATAATAATAATAATAATAATAATGACAAGACGTCACCGTCCAATAACATCCGAATTCGATAATTCCAAAATAATCCAAAACTCGCCGATAAAAAATGCGCAGACCAATTAAAAAATTCCCACGATTCTCTGGTCCCTGTCGACACGGTTCAAGGAAGATCGCTGTCTCATCCCCGACCCAGCGACTCGGCCTAGGCCAGATAGGTCCTAGGATTGGTCTTCGGGTTGCCGGCAGGGTCGTCCTTGGTGGAGCAGGGCCAGGCCTCCTCGACCAGGCTGCCGTACCTTTGTACGCCTGGGAAAGGGGGCCCGGTGCTCTGCGGCGAGTAATAACCGCCCTTCAGCTGATAATAATTGCTGGTCTGCTGATACTGGTACTGATCGCCGGGAGGAAGTATGTTGCTGTATCCGGAATAGGAGCCGTACTGCGAGGAGTACGTCGACGAGTATCCCCGCTCGCTGAGGCTCCGGTAAGGCCCCGAGTGCTGGGGCCTGCCCTCCTGTCAAACGGGGGTGCTGACCGCCGCGCTGGTTATGTAGTCGATGTCCCCGATGCTCTTCACCCTGCGGTGCCTCTTGTTCCCGGTGATCGGCCTCGGCGGGAGCTGCGGTGGCGGCGGCGAGTTACTCCGGGCGCTGCTCATGTACTGGCTCGCCAGACTTCCGGTGTCCGACGAGGACGACGGGGAGGCCTTCTCGCTCCTGGGTCGCAGACCGAAGGCTCGACTTAGCGATCCCTGTGGAACCACGTTCGTAGATTAGTGCGTGCTGTTTTACGATTCAGGGTTCTTCAAGGGTCAAGAACTAGATACAGCGAACTCGTGACAATAGCTTTGGTGGGTGTCGTGGCTTTTTCGTTGAACACTTTGTCTACTGGGAGAGGTCTTGGTTAGGTCTGGGTTAAGGTATTTGGTGCGGGAAGATATTTCTATCCAGATTTAACAATGGTTTTTGGCGAGAGTCTGAAATGGTACCCTGTTAGAGATTGAGAAATGTTGGAAAGATTGTTACAAAAATTCTGGAAAAATTGGTAAAAGTACTTCCAAGGACGCAGTTTGCGTCTATAAAATCGAAACGTTGATAGGATTTTGAGGAAACATTTTGTTTGCAATTATGTTGCCTCAAAATGACTCGCAATCTGGACAAAGGGATTCCTCGGGTTATTTGAAGTAACTTTTTCCTTAGCGAAAATGTTCTATGAGGCTTCGTTCTCGAGTTATTAACGAAAAACAGTGACCAATGAGAGACATGATCGGCTGGCGCGAGACTGCCGAGCCAATGAGCGGAACTGGACTTCGCGCGCTCGTCGCAGGCGCCGCCTCGCGCCAGCAGTGCTCGCCTCGCATTGGTCAGCGTTTTTCGTTAATAACTCGTAAACGAAGCATCGTAGGAGAATTTCGCTAAGGAAAAAGTTACTTCAAATGACTTCAAGAACCCTAAGGCATTCTTGGGACACTCTGTTTAGACAATTTTGATGGAGTCAGATACACCAGGATACCATTATAGGCTTCTTTTATTCCAACGGTGACATAGTATCCTCATTGTTAAAATTTGAATGGTAGATATTTTTTAATGATTGGACCTCTTGTTCTAATAAAACAATCCTGTCAAAATTGATACCGTTAATGTCTCGTTTTATTTAGTTGTTCGAGTTCGGTGTATCTTGTCGTCTAATGTAATAGTAAGTCCCGGAGGAAGTGATGATCCGACAGAGGATGTTTGTGGACGAACGACTATGATTTCTCATGCGAGTTCGGGTTTCTTGAGTAGAACTGGGATCGATGCAAAATGGTGGGTAGTAAAGAATGATCGATCGTGTGATTAGAAATTGATTCTTCGAGATGATCGTACAGTGGCCCACAAAAGTGTTCGTTACACCTTCTAAAACGTGATAACTTTCTGAAAACTCAACTGAATGACGTCAATTCTTTTTTAGATGATAAAAATGACTACTACTAGACAATGACTAAAATGCCTTTTCAAATTTTGCCATTACTTGGGATGACAAAGAAAGATAAGAAACTCTTGTTTTTTTTAACTTTTTACAGTATTTAAGGTGTTATTAAGAGTATTAAGGTGTTTGTTAAATTTCCCAGAGTTTTGTTATTTATTTTGTTTGACATTAAAACTGATAATAAAATTTAAACAAAGCATTTTGGACTAGCATTTTTAGACTAGTCCCGGCTGTCATCCAAAAAAAAAAGATTCAAGTCACTCAAACCAATACTAAAAAAGTTATCGCTTTTTAAAAGGCGTATAAACATTTTTTCGGACCACTGCATATATGATTTCGGTAAAACAGAGGATGTTAAAGCTTGTCTCTAGAAAACGATTACACGAAATCGAGGGAAGCGAGGACAATGGTCCATGAATCGATCGAATGACAGGCACGATGCATCGAAATGTTCACAGAGTTCGTCGTAAAGCGCATTTCGAATCAGAAAACATCGAACGTCTTCTCTTTCGATCGAGTGAAATTTTACACCGAAATTTTCAGCGCGAGTCTCGTGTGACGATCGATTCTGTGCTCGAAATGCGCGTGCAACCGAATGTCGAACTAAGAATTTCTGTGATCCGCGAAACGAGACGAGGAGATCGCGACGAAGTTGGGAACGATGATTCAGCAGCGCGAACAAAAAGCACAGTTGAAGTCGCTACGTTGAAATACAGAATCTGATGATCGGTGTCAACACAACGGCACACGACAAGCATTCTTTGTACTCTAAAGAAAATTGAATGGTTCGATCTAGGGACTGGTGGTGTTCGTTCTAAAGCGGAGGTTAAAGAAGGGTCAAGCTGATCGAGATCATCGAAACTGGCCGAAGTCGAGTCGGCAATTCTCGGTTCTTTGTCCACGGGAATCCCATTAATGATAAATAAATGAACATAAATATCCGAGAAAGACTCGGATCGGCCAATCTCGATGTTGCTGGACAGATCGTAGGCACATCGAGATCATCGAAACTGGCCGAAGTCGAGTCGGCAATTCTCGGTTCTTTGTCCACGGGAATCCCATTAATGATAAATAAATGAACATAAATATCCGAGAAAGACTCGGATCGGCCAATCTCGATGTTGCTGGACAGATCGTAGGCACATCGAGATCATCGAAACTGGCCGAAGTCGAGTCGGCAATTCTCGGTTCTTTGTCCACGGGAATCCCATTAATGATAAATAAATGAACATAAATATCCGAGAAAGACTCGGATCGGCCAATCTCGATGTTGCTGGACAGATCGTAGGCACATCGAGATCATCGAAACTGGCCGAAGTCGAGTCGGCAATTCTCGGTTCTTTGTCCACGGGAATCCCATTAATGATAAATAAATGAACATAAATATCCGAGAAAGACTCGGATCGGCCAATCTCGATGTTGCTGGACAGATCGTAGGCACTCGAAAGAAGGTATCGAAGGTGTCTACCGAGCAGGGATCGGCGGGTAATGATGACGAAAACACGGGGGATAATACGTAAAGTAGATGATGATGATAATGATGATGAATGAATGATGGGCGCATACCTGTGAGCTCTTCCACGACAACTATTAAAGGACGAAACAAGGTCGATTAAGAACCCACACCGTGACTTCCACATTGAAATCATCAGTTTATATATTTACACAATGGCATCGTCATCGTTATTATAATTAGTCTTTAGGTGGCTAGAAATCGAGCGTCTGCGGGCAATCCGTTTCAACGCGGCATTCACTACAATTAAATGGAATACCATTTGGGAACGGGACACTCTCCGATTAACATACATTGGAAGGTGGCAAGGGTGGCGCGATCGACTCTTTCCGATCCCGCCCTTTGACCTTTATGTACAAGTGTTTACAGTTACGGCGGCGATACAGTCAGCCCTTTCGAGGAAAATATAGTCGAGGGGGCTCGCGATCGTTCGCTCGTAATTCACCGGCTCCGATCGAACCCGGGATCAAACGATCGTATACTCGTTTTTGCACGATTCGATTAGCAACGATTACGGCGATTTCTCTGTAATCAGCGTCGAGAAATGCGCACAAAACTGGTACAATTCGGGAAGAGAAGACGCGACTGTTCGAGCTTCGCCGGCTCGTTTTTACAGTCGCTGACAATCGGTAGCTGTAAAAACGAGGCTCCGAGGCTCGAACAGTCGCATCTCCGCTTCCCGAATTGTACCAGTTTTGTGCGCAATCTCGGCGCGAATCGGGGAGAAATTACTGCAACGAGCTGCGACGGATCGCCGAGAAGCGAAAGAGAGAATTCGGAGTCGTCGAACGCCGAAGGAACGCGGAAAAATCGCGGTTCCTCTCCGAATTCTCCGCGTCGCAGGGCCGTTCGTTCGTTCTATCGAATCGAAACGACGAACGAAATCGTTTCGACGCGTTCTTTCGATCGATCTTCTTGTGTCTCGAATTTGTTCGATCGAAGACAATCGATCGGCGAGGCATCGCGACAGAATCGAAGTTGAACGAACCGGAAAGAATCCGCGGTCTTCGGAGGAACGGCGAGTTACGAGCGCGGACTACCGACCAGATCGTCCCCAAGAATTTGACTAACAAGTTAAGCTCGTGTGATTCGTGAATCGTGTGTTCGCCGGCGATCGTCGCTCCGCGACCGCCGTGAACGAACGTCGAACGAGGGTTTACAAGATTTACAAATGTAGACAGCTCGGGAAGTAGAAGGATTTATTAATCGCGTTTTTTTTTTCGCGTTCCTATAGGCCGGAAAGGGCGTTGCGTGGACCGCAGCCCCGATCTCGGTCATCTCTCTAGAAAAATTGTCGCGAGGGCTTTGAACGCGCGAATCGGAGAATTTCGTTAATTATCTAGAATCGCGGGGGAGGGGAAGTACGAATCTCGTAAACTCGGACACCATTGCCGTCTGTATTTCCGAGGTTCGTGCGATCGAAATTCGTGTGGGACCGTCGGCGGATGTCAGCTCGGCGTCGAACTCAGCGCGATCGTTAATTAAACGCGACGATCGATCGATCGATCGGATTGATCGCGGCGAACGTTCGACGCGTCGCCGACACGCCGCGACGTTTGCTTGCCGACGAGGAGACATCCCCGGGGTGTTTCAGCGGCGAGGATGCCTCGTCGTTCCGGCAGGGTTGTGATCTAAGAGATAACGATGAGTATCTACTATGTCTCTACGAACACCCGGAGCCTGCAACGCGACGACGGATCGCGGTTCTTTCGGTCACGGATCTCGTGACGAGAGCGAAGCGCGCTCGCGCGGAACGGTTTTCCAAGCCGGATCTCCGCCGACGTTATTTCCACGGATCATAGTCAAAAACGAAGCTCGATCTCGCCGGAATCGAAAATTCTCCGCGCTTTCGCGCGGCTCGTTGAACAGCTTCGATCGAATCGCGCGTGCTTCGGCGTCGACCGCGCGTTTCGACGCGTTCGAGAAACGCGCGAGTTTCCGCACGATTCCAAGAACGTGCGCTCGATATTATTTCTACGCGTATAATCGCAACGTTTACGAACGATTTAACATGTAAATATATAAATGCGAAGTCACGGATAAATATTATACGGTCGGGGATAGAAAATCTACGTCTGCGGCGGGCTCGACGATTCGACGAGATTCGTTCGAACGGAGTGTCGGGGCCGATCGTTTCGTCGGGAAGCAACTTTATCCTCGGCGCCCTGTAACTTTGTCTCTGCGATCGATCAGCGATTATTATCAGTCGACGATTGAAACGGGAGACCATCGATCCGTCGTCGGCGTTGCACGCTCCGATGAAAATTCAACCTCGAAGTTTCCCAGAGGGACGCGGCGTTCGCCGCTCCGTTTTCTCGACGCTTTCGCGAACCGGCGAACATCGGCGCGCTTTTTCGCGGCGCGACGGCGAACGAACTCCGTCGTGGAAACTTCGAGCGCAGCCAGGACTCGTTTAAAACACCTCGTGGTCGGTGGCCACGGCGACAGAGTTAATGTACAGAGACGTAGGCGAAAGAAACGATGGATTAATATATAGATCTAGATACATGTACGTATATATATAATATATACATATATACCGAACCTTTTTCAAGTAAAGAAGACTGCAGGTCTGCGACGATCCACAGGATGCAGGGACAATGATTAACGTTAGGTCCGAGCTCGTAGCTCACAGCTTGCGACCATTGTCGTCGCGGAGGCTCGACGGACGATCCCGTCGCGCGGTCCCGCGGCGCGGCCGCGCGCGTTTCGTGCTCGAAACATATTAGAAAAATATTTCTATTCTCGGTGAAAACTGAATATACCATACCTGAGAAACATGGAAGTTGCCTAGTCGATTTTCTCGAGGATCCCTCGGGTTACGGTTTTAATCGTTGATTTCTTTTTTTTCTTTTTTTGGACGACATGCGCGCGACACGCTCGACCTACGATCGCGACGACGATCGATCGCGAAGGGATCGCGCGGCCTCCGCTCGACAATGGTTACACAAGCGTGTTCAGGATGCGTCGAGATAGGAGAACAGTTATAGTCAGCTTTTTCTTTGTCTTTTCGCTCTTTTCACGGAGCTTTCTGGCGTGGTACTGCGCGAGCGTCCTTACCTAAGCGATGCCATGCAAGTCGTGCGAATGAGAAACGAAAACGGAAAGGCAGAAAGGCAAACCATATATTTACAAGAAAATGAGATACACAGTGGACAATGGAAAATGTGTTCGAACGTTGGTGTAACCTCGGCTTTTTGCGCTGTATGTTTGAGTGAATGTACGTCGAAGGGAAAAAGATATTTTACGGTGCATTAAAGTAGAGTATATTAATGTCGAAATGCAAGGAATTTTCGATTTAGTGAAAAACGTTGTCTACGTGATTAAACAAATATTAAGGAACGCCGAATTTTCGCGGAACGTGAGTATTCGAACGCCTTATAAAATTCAGTCGAAGAGTTGTTAAGGGTTGTAGATTTTATTTTATTAATTTTTATTACCAATTTTACTGTTTAACAATATGTTTCAAGAAGTTTGACATTTTAGAAGTCATTCTTTATTTATGATCGATATTATACAGGATTCTATGATTTGTTCATAGTATGCACGTTCTTCGTTGCAACTCGTGTGAATATAAATTGTTATCTTAATCTGTTGACGCATTCGAAGGAATTTGTAAAATTAGAACGCAGTTTTGGCTCATTTACCTGTGCTAATATTGATGTAACATGGGAAAAATCAACGAAAATTGCATTCTAATTTTGCAAATTTCTTCAGATGCATTTACATGATAATTAAGATAACAATTTATATTTGTACGCGCCTTGATCTTGAATCTTAAATAAATACTTACTTTGAAAATGTCAAACTTCTTGAAACAATAGAGGCATAAAGGCTTAAATAATAGAGGCATAAAATTGGTAATAAAAATGAATAAAAAGAATTTGCTTTTATAACTTAATAGTTTGTCAATCATGTAGACAACGTTTTACACTAAATTGAAAATTTCTTGCATTTCGACATCGATATACTCTACTTTAATATACCGTAAATTATTTTTCCTCTTCGATGCATATTTATTTAAATATACAGCGTAGGAAATCAAAGTTATATTAATGTTCGTATACTTTTTTCGTCGCCCATTGTATGCGACGAGAGACCGACTCGGCGATAGCTCGGAGAAGGGTGCATGGTGTGAAAGAGTCCCATCGGGAAATGGCGGCTCGAGCGACGGCCGTTGTGAATTTCGGGCCTCGGTGTCGTCGGTTCGATCGAACGAAACTTGCTTCTCGCTCGAGCGGCCATTGAAAACAATGCGTGACACACGGGGTGATAGATAGATAGATAGATAGATGTGATCGCCGGCGACGGCTTTCCGTGCGGTGTTCCTCGTGATGTTATGCAAACGGTGTTTCACAAAAAAGTGGGAAGAGAAAAAATGTCGTCCATGACGCGGTTAGGCGGTGTGACAGACACTTGGTCTTTTTTTTTTATTCAAGGCAGATTGCTTCCACAAGTGGACGAGTTGTTTTGCTTTTTTTTAAATATTTACCTATTATTGCGACAATCTTAAATATTTATTCTGTTAGACAAGGCCCCGTTACGTTTCGGGCTGTCATCGATCTGACGGCCCTTCGTTCTCATATCCGGCGATTTCTTTGAAAAGTACCACTCCATAGATAACTACTGAAATCAATCAAAATTAGTCTTATCTTTATGCGTCCGCGGGGGCTCGCTCAAAATATTTGCAGCGTGTGTGCGCGCGCGACACGAATTCGACCGGCTACGCTAAGTTCTGTGTCCTGTGTGCACTGGCAACTGAAAAAAAAGAACGAAAAGGTGCCACGGATTTTCTGAAATCGAAGCGTTAGATCCGTTTCTACGTTTCAAGCGAGCTCTGTCAAACAGCGTGACGAGAGCGTAAATTATGAAAGCTATCGGCAACGTTTCATCGAAGCTGATATTTACAATAAAAAACGTTTACGTAAAGCACCACCCCTGCTGCTCTCCTAATTATCGTATCAAATTTATATTTATAATCAATCGATATTTTATCAATTTTTAAGCGTCTCCGAAGTATTTTTCAGATGGACCTCTGCTTATGGAAGCTACCAGCAACGACTAAGCTCGATTAATATTGGAGAAAGAGAAGCTCGACGTGATTCGTATTAGTAGCAATAATGATTAAAAGAAGCTATTATACTGTATTACACCACTCGTGAGGTGTTAAAACTAGGTCTGCCGAGAGTTTCAATTCTTTTCTGGTCAGTTCAAAGTTCATTTTAGAGACTGACTTCAACAATGGAAGCTATCGGGATCGGCAATGCTAAATTAAAATTGTAGAAAAAGAAGCTCGTGATTTTAAGTGCTTCTGAATTGTTTGGTTAGGTGTACAATAATTTCTCCTGGAAATGCCAAAGTACGGTATGCTGCGAATTTCTTTGGGCTGGTCCTACGTCTATGTAATTTATTGCCACGTCGATGCTAAGGGTCGACGGAGTCGCACAATGATCTGTTTGGGTGTAAGTCAGGTAAGAAAAACCGAACAATTGTAAGGTACGTGACAGATATGGTCAATTCTTCTTGGTTGACAATCTGATTGTGCACAAAAATGGACAATTTGGAAATAGGAGATACTATTGTGCCAATATAATGGTCAATCACCGTAAAAACGAGCCGCAAGACTCGAATAATCGTATCTCCTCTTCCCAAATTGCCTAATTTTGTGCACAATCTCAGCGTCAATTAAGGAGAATTGATTGTAATACCTGCGTGACCGTTGAATCGTGGCAACTGGCCTCTGAATTGCCTCCGAATTGTCTGCGAATAGTGTCACGTGGCCTCCGAATTGCCTTCGAATAGTGTCAGGTGGTCTTCGAATTGCCTTCGAATAGTATCACGTGGCCTCCGAATTGCCTTCGAATAGTATCACGTGGCCTCCGAATTGCCTTCGAATAGCGTCACGTGGCCTCCGAATAGCCTTCGAATCGTGGCAAAAAATTGAAAATAAAGAAACAAAATTCATACTAATGTATACTGCAGTCTTTTCTTGCCGACTGCCCCGAGTTTCAACAAAAACTAGCCTTCAGGCTCGAAGAATCGTGTCTCGGCGCGACTTAGTATTCTCATATCTGCGTATCTCGATTCCCATTTCCAAACGTTTCTAAGAAAAATGTACTGTACATCCGACTATGAAAGCTGCAACCATCAACAATGCTGAAGAAAAAATAAAAGAAAGACAAAGCTCTTTAGTCCCATTTTTGCAACGAGCTCTGCTCCGAGCCCAGCGAGAGCAAAAATTGTTTCTCAGGTCCATCGAAAGTGTACTTGTTGGAACGATCACGGATATCTAGCTGGTTCTAAAGTTCGTATCGCAGCGATAGAAGCGATCTGCCAAGAATTGCTCGTACCCCGTGCAAGTTGAAGAGACAGACCGAAGAATAGTACGCTAAGAAGAGAGGAGTACCGACGAGTACCCGGTGCAGTCGTTTATGGACCAGGTGGGGTAAATCTATGCGGTACGTTACCCTGAGGCTGGATCTGCGTCTATCGACCGTGCCAGTGTGATTAGCCGTCATGTGCAGGGCCGAGAGGGAGCTCTGATGATGCTGTAGGTGCAGCGCCCTGCTTCCACGACCGAGGCTACCCCCTGCGCTCACGGTGCTCATCGGACGACCACCGCCGCTGCTGTTCCTCGGGACCACCTCCAGCTGACTTCTACGCACACGCACACCACGCTTCATGCACGCCTTTCTGCGTACACGCGACCCCTGACCGCTTATATGCACACACCTTTTTGGTGACACCGCGGACACACACACGTTCGGCACAGTTTGCAGCGAACCTCTTTCTTTTTCTATCGTCGAGAGGTCATTTTCACCTTCTGTCTCCGGCGAGCTCGAGGGCCCTTTCGTGAAGGGGCGTGGGGTGCTCTCGCGGATGGGGTGCGAATTCACCGGAATAGTTTGCTAGTTACTGGTGTATAACGCGGGGGAGAGAGTGGGATTCCGCCAGAGCTGGGCCAGTTAATCAACGATTCAACGCGATGAAAAACGCGGGCATGGGCATATTTTCACCCGGGCTGAAGGGGTCGATGTTTCGTTAACGTTGGATCTGATGCGTTGAAAGTGAATTTGCTGCGTTGAAATCGAACGAGTTACGTTTACATCGAATTTACTACGTTGAAATTGAATTTGCTGTGTTGGAATCGAAGGAGTTAAGGTTGGAACTGAATTTGCTGTGTTAAAATTGAATTTGCTGTGTTGAAATTGAATTTGCTATGTTAAAATTGAATTTGCTACGTTAAAATTGAATTTGCTCCATTAAAATTGAATTTTCTGTGTTCAAATTGAATTTGCTACGTCAAAAATTGAACTTGTTACATCAAAATTGAATTTGCTGTGTTCAAATTGAATTTGCTACATTAAGATTGAATTTGTTACATTAAAATTGGATTTGCTGTGTTCAAATTGACTTTGTTACGTTAAAATTGAATTTGCTGTGTTGAAATTGACTTTCCTCCATTAAAATTGAATTTGTTACGTCAGAATTGAATTTGCTGTATTGAAATCGAACGAGTTACGTTCAAACCAAACATGCTGCATTAAAATTGAATCAGCTACGTTAACCTTGACATAAGTAACAGAAAATTGTATTCGCGAGAACTATCTTCGAAAACGTGTTTCGAGAAATTGATTCATAAAGAGACGAATCCCCACGAGCATAATTAATCGCATAATTCACCGTCTTGCTCAGAGAAATTAGCTTTTCGATGAAGCAGCTTTCTCAGCTGTTAATATGAATCGTGTCAAAGCGATAATTTTAGCGGAGATTAATGCCCAAGTCTGGGATCAAAGGGACCACGTTGAATCCTCGAAACGCGTGCCACGTTAAAGATCCGATTGAAATCGAACTCGATGCACAGAAAAAGGAGGTCGATAAACACTCTATCGATCTTCCTTCTTAGCGCGTCGATTGCCACAAGTCGGTCGTACGTGTCTGACACAGTTTCCAGTCGATCTTTAACTTTTTGAAGTAGGCGTCTGCGCGCTAATATCGACGGATGCTTCGAAATTTGTCGCGCGAGGTCAGATCGTTATCCGCGGCACGCTTTCGTCCATTGCTTTTCAAGGATCGAAGTTGCGAGAAATATCGAAAGATCTGACACGTCGATAAATTGCAATGTAATAATTTCCCCCTAATTTTCTCGGCTTCGAACTCTCGAACAGATCACAGCAATTTTTCCCTAATTCGCGCGCTCGGATTGCGCACAAAAATGGACAATTCGGAGAGAAGAGGCACGATCATTCTCGCCTTGCAATTCGTTTTTATAGTTACCGATTGTCAACAATGATAAAAAACGAGGTACAAGGCCTCCTCTTCCCAAAAATCGTCCATTTCTGAGCGCAATCGGAGCGCGAATTAGGGAGAAATTGCTGTAATCCGTTCGAGAGATCGCAGCCAAACAAATAAAATCAGCTCGGTAGATTCAACGTGGTCCATTCGAACGTGATCGATCTACTCTCGGGAACTCTATTCTAAGGACGTGATAATCCGACAACGATCACATCGTGAAAGTAATTGTTTAAAAAACGAAACAAGGTCGTAACATAAGGAGCGACATCGATGCTGAATTTTTCAAAGGGTCTAATCGGGTGTTAAAAGATCGGCGAAGGTTCATCGTGGAAGGGAAAACGGTGCATAAGAATGTGAGAGGGGGGATGGCGGAGGGGGGTTCGGTGGAACATCGTTTTGGCACACAAAATCTATCGTGATCGAGAGAGAACATTCGAAACTGAAGGCTCGCTGCAAGTGCTCGACGCTAGGACCAGATCGATCATAATGAATATCTAGTTACAACATAAATATACATACACAAGCATTTTGTGCACCATTGATATATGTAGAAGAATGAATATATATGATGGTCGCTGGACACCGGATGCGCAGGATCGTCCGCGTGGGGATCGACCGGGTCGCATCGCGGGGCCGGCTTTGGTCAATTGGAATATAAACACCGAACAGTCAAAAATGTAAATATCAAAGTTGGCAAATCAGAAAAAGGTAAAAGGAACCATAATGCATACTGGTGTAATCCATGGCCAGGCTCGAACGGGCGCGACAACCGGTCGCGTTCCAATCCGCTTTCACCGATTTAGGTGAACGACCATGATGGAATTCTAACGAATCGACCCCTGCCGAGCAACGAAAAATCATTGAAAACTTCACGAGCGTCAAAATCAAATTCAAAATCACTTCGGGACCATCCAACGAGCACAGCTAGAGCTGTACGCAAGCTTGTTACAGCTCGGGAGACCTCTGGCACCGTCATTTTACTTTGCCCCCAGCTCGCTTAGTTTATTTTAGACGAAGAGACGCGAGGACGAATCCGTTGCAATTTATAACGTCGTTTAAGCGGATCGAATTCTACGAAATTTCTGCGAATTTTACATCCAACGATCATCTTTTCCTTCGCTGGAAAAATCCGTTTATAGTGATGTCTCCCTGATTGACGTTCAGCTTGGAAATGAAAATTGATAATTTGGGAAGAGGAGATACGATTATTCGAGCCTTGCAGCTCGTTTTTATAGTCATTGACAATCGATAAGCATGAAAAACGAGCTGCAAGACTCGAACAATCGTATCTCCTCTTCCCAAATTGTCCATTCTTCTGCACAATCTGAGCGTCAATTCTTGTGGACCATCTGAGCGTCAATTAGGGAGACATTACTGTACTCTGTTTTTTCTCCTTCATGTGACAACCGGTTCGTATATATAAATTAAATACAGAGATAAAAAATAGATACAATTTATATGAAAATTCTAGTCATAGCTGGTTGAATAATTCTTCAACCCTGACCAGATTCCAAATATTAAAGAAAATCCAAAATTCTGCACATTTTGCACAGGTCCCGCTTAGTTCAAATTGCTCGGATTCTGCAAAAATGGCCACGAAAATGGACAATTTGGGAAAAGAAAATACAATTAATCGAGCCTAAATAACCTCATTTTTATAGTTGTTGAAAATCGGTAACTATAAAAACAGGCTCGCAAGGCTCGAATAACCGTATCTCCTCTTCTCAAACTTTCCATTTTCGTGTACAATCTGAGCGTAAATTAGAGAGAATTTCCTACACGTCGTTTATCCAAAAAATGGAGAATGTTGTTATCCCCTAAATGATCTAGCTATCTATTCGACGGAAGATTTATCCGAAAAGCAGACAGAGGCAAGGTAGGGTCTCGGCCAGAACTCAGGGGATGGTCCTCGCGATTCCGAAGGCCCGGCTGGCAGCAGGCTCTCCCATCGAAGCCGTGTTGCCGCAACATCTGAGGCGACACGCGGCGAAGGTATCGGCCACGGATCACACCAGAATTACTAATAGTAACATGTGCTGTACATAGCGCAAGTGCAGTGCAGGCGGCAGCTGTGGGCTACGGCTCAGCTATGAAAGACATTACCGATGGATCCGCGATCGAGTGGACTGCAGACCCAGCGAATTAGCTGCGGTGCCGAGTACAATGTTTCAAGAACCATTTTCATCCGGGTTTATGTTTGTATATGTACATTATGTCGACTGTACTGTACTGTATTTACGTGTGTGTATTCCCGATATATCCAAGTATGGCGTGTGTATTACGGATGAGTACTTAGGCTACGACCTCCGGGTCCGTAGCGACCCCGACCGTCTTTTTTCTCTTCGTCGTTCAGCGCCCGGCGTCGATTCGCGCCGTTCGCGGGTCGGGGTTGCCACGGACCCTGCGTGTACAGTTACCTCAATATGCGAATCGATCGTTCGATCATGCTCTCGTCACTAACGGCGCTCTAAGAGACCTTCGTGACGCGTCTGAATGGCCGATATATGTCGATGTCTCTGAACGAACTTGTGTACTCCGCGGCGAGCAGCGACGATTTCGCGCCGATCCCGTCTAGCTCGGTTGTTTCGTTGTTCGGTACTGCGGTCCCTCGTTAGAAGCACGCCGCGGAGCTGATCAACTGTTTGGGGCACGGCGGGATCGAAAATGTCCCGTAAAGATGGGATCGCAAGGGTGATCGAGCATTTTTAGGCGCAACTAGAAATATTGCAATAGCTGCATGCGCATTCGTGGACCCGTGTGGCACGCTGGGAACATTTGGGTGCCACCCTGTTACAACAAACTCTACTGAACTGTCGTTATTTTTTTATATTTTCATATTATGCGATTTCTTTGTTTATGAAGATTTACCAATTTTGTTTAATTTAATACATTTGAATAATGTAATATAATATGTAAGAAATATAATTTTATTATATATAATAATGTATAATAAATATAATTCTATTGTATATAATAATATATAATAAATATAATTTCATTACATATAATAATGTATAAGAAATATAACTTTATTATATATACTAATATATAACAAATAAAATTCTATTATATATAATAATATATAATTTTATTACATATAATAATATATAATAAACATAATTTCGTCATATATAATAATATATAACAAATAAAACAATTGAAAATCTCTGTGCGACACGAGTCTATTTATTTTCTGAAATCCTGTGCCCCAAAGAGTTAACTCGACGCATAACTTTCGAACAAACGGTTTCCGCACCTCGTGACTCGAATTTTTGGACTATTCTCGAGAAAATCTACGAGAACATACTCGAAAGAGCCGAAAATCTCTGGACCGGTAAAGTAAAGTTTGACCGATTAGTATAGTCACCGAGTAGAATAACGAGTCCGGATCACCAATTGTCCGGTCAATCTACCGAGATCGATTCTTGGAATTGCGGAATTATTATTATGTTGAGATCGTGCACCAAGTTTCAGCAGCTCTCGTTGTTCAATCTTACCTCCGTACCGGTACGCGCGTTTAACGAGGGAACGCCGTATACCCGAGTACACGTGCTCTTCTATTCTCTCGCGAGCAAATGCCTCTGCTCAGCTATTTACAATCCTCCCGGCGTCGGGGACGCGTCCTCTTAAACGATACCGATGCGGACTAGTATTAAAAGCTTTGCCGGTTTTTGCCATAATATTTACAGATCTCGGGACACGATCGCCGAATACACGGCGACGCGCGACCGTCGCGCGACACGCCCGACCGTAGAAACCCTGACGAAAAATCGAGACCTGCCCCGACTTTATACAATGAGAACGCCTTCGAAGCTAACGCGAGCGTGTACCGCGAGACTCGGTGCCCGCCGACGAGCACTCTACGCGAGTTCTCTCGCGCGACCGGAAGCAACGTCTCGACGATGTACTCTCCGCGACGGAAATAATTGACAGCGGCTCAACGAACGTCCCTACGATAGCTCTGCCTAGAGAAGATCATTAAAAAGAGAGTGTGTGTGAGAGAGAGAGAGAGAGAGAGAGAGAGGGCTCGCGAAATTTTTACACATGTTCCGAAGGTCGTCCGCGACGGAAGCGGCGCTTCCGTTGACCTCGAGCGCGACTGTTAACCGGTCTCGTCGGCAGACTGCGACGACGTCGGTGCTCGAACCGACGCGAAATCTGTTTGAAGTAACCTGTTGCGTGGCCCGAGCTCGAGAGAATATCGGGACATGCATCGAACACGTCCGACTTGTTGCCGTTATACTTCGCGGAGAGACCGTTCCAAGGTGGTTTCACACGTTGTTGTGGTTCGGGCTGATCGGAGATGGCAGTAACAAGAGTTTAAGCATGACGGGGATGGTGTTTTGAACACACGAAAACATTGAATAACTTATTAACCTTTTGTAGTCGAAAGCGTTTTTAATTCTGAGTCGAAAATCATTTTTCTGAACCAAAATATCTACAATTTAAGTGTTTTTAAGCTATTTTTTTTGACAATTGTATTTTAGCAATTATCGTGAATTTTGGGGGGATTTGCCATTTGCATACTTGTTATTAAAAACGCCATGATGAGAAAATATTGTTTTTCGTTGACTAAAACATTGCTCGTGCTGGAAATATTGCTAATTTTATCTGGCTTCTTAAAATTTGAATGTGTCGCGTAAAAATCGATTTGCGAAGACGCGGAAAATTTGTAAAAAAATTCGCGTTTGATTAAGTGAACATTGAAAAGTCGTAGTCGATTCTTCGTACTCGAAAGTGTTTTAATTCTGAATAGAAAATAATTTTTCTGTGCCGCTTTATTTCCGTTTTAACGCATTAAGTGGCGAATATTAACTCGAATAATTCACAGAGTATCAAAGTCAATTAATTAACGACACCGAAACTAGGAAGTGACAAATTTATCATGGGAAATATTTGCTCAGCTATTTTGTATTCTAAAAATCCTAGTAACGTTCAATTTGCTCAATATATCACAAGAAAAATGAATTTCGAAAACCCAGATAAAAATTAGTGTCACAGATTCGATGCATTTTAATTGTTGTGGAATGCAGTCTCGCAACTAGTGCAGCAGTCAAACTTTCGACAGTTCTTCGAATATAAATAAATTGGGTAATCTGAAAATTATTTTGTAACGCGATGGAACAATTTTTAGAGATCATCATAGTCACTACTCGAGTGCAAAGAGTTAATAATACAGTATAATTGTCTATAGTGAACAAAAATATGTCAAGAAACGTCCAGCGACGAAGAACACTGTCTTCGTAGCACAGAGTCCTAAATCACGAGCAAACTAAATAGAAAATTACTATGACGAACGTATACAAAATTATGGTTAAACTTGCGGGTTATCCGCAATCCTAATTCTCCAAGCAGCCATTGTATTTCGAAAATATTTCTCATCGTCAAAAAACAAAAACGAACATCCTTACGTAAGCACTTTTTTTAATGCGCTTCGACGATAATTATATTCGAAAGTCAGTGTTAAACTGCCGTCCCCGGTCGACCCAATTGATAGCCGGTATCTGGCCGCATGCGTTTTTTCTGAATAACAAAGCGCGCCGTTTTATCGACGGCCGAAGGACAATTGTCCCCGATAAGGTCTCTCGAGCAAGGACGAGTTGGAATGGAACCGCGAGAACGATGATTCGTGTTTTCGGGCTCGATCTCGTTATGTCGATTAGTGAGCGTTGTCCAATGTCGCCTCGGGATGATAGAAGACTGAGTACCTTGCTGGAACGACGAGGGCTTCCAGTTCGGCGGTCAGGTGCCGTCTGATCATGTGTTTAGCCGGCGGTATGCCCAACGCTGTGGCCATCGTGTCGCCGGTGAAGGATGGCTCCAGCACGACCAGGGCACCGTGCACACCCGAATCTAGTTTTGGATGTCAAGTTCAGTCTTCGGAAGCGTTTCGAATCGCACGGAGAACACGTGTAAGAACGTCCTAAGAAAATGGCACTCGTTTCCGGCGACCTCTTCGCTGGAAACTTCGATTCTTTTTTCGTTTTCGCGAATGAAAATGAATTCGTTGATTATAAGGTGCGGCAAATTCTTCGTAAGTTTGCTTTGTAAGTGAAAATGGACAATTTGGGAAGAGGAGATACGATTATTCGAGCCTCGCGGATTATTTTTTGTAGTTGCCGATTGTCGATCGTTATAAAAATGGGGTGCGAGGCTCGAGTAACCCTCCAAGGCTCCTTTTTCCAAATTATATAATTAATATATATGATTATGTTATATAATTGTATAATATAATTAATATATGATTATGTTATATAATTGTATAATATAATTATTAAAATATATAATTATATTATATAATTATATAGTATAATTATTAAAATATATAATTATATAGTATAATTATTAAAATTCTGTAGTATAATTATTAAAGTGTATGATTCTATGGTATAATTATTAAAGTATATGATTCTGTGGCATAATTATTAAAGTTTATAATTCCATAATATAATTATTAAAATATACAATTCTATATATAATATAATTATTAAAATATATAATTATATAATTATATAATATAATATATAATTTTTGCTTGCAAGCTGAACGAAAAATCAGCGAAAAATTACTATACAACGCAATGATCATCCCCCCAATCAGTCGCATTTTTTAAACAAAAGCGCCATTTTCGTAGACCGTTTTCACGTATACCCGAGCCAAGAAGAAATATTCCATGAATCCGTGAAATCGTCGCGTTAATTAAAAATTACGTTATTCATGGATAGACTACTACGCCATGATATTTGTTGATCTCCCTTGGATTTTAAAAAAAGAATTGCTGGTTTCAAAGGCTAAGGCCGGAGTGGTTTAATTATCGAGTCGGCCGATGTTCTTCAAATATTACAACCAGCTGGCAGGTAGAATAATTTGTCCCTTTTGACGGTTTCCCGGTGGGTAATTACGGGGCGTACCTTTCAAGTTCTCAGCGTATTCAGTTAGATCGATGTTCCTCGCCCACCGGATGAACCTCTGGTTCGTCCAAACTAGAGGATCCGTGTCGACTTGCTCGCACTGGTGTCTCCTGACTGCTAATGCCTATCGGGGAACACGGTTAACAATGTTTCTTTGAGCGTTCCTCTCGTCGAATTAGTACACTAAATAATCGTTTAAACGCTGGACCGACTAACAAATTTTTTAGAATTCCTCGGAAGAGATCCAGAGGCATCGACGAGTTAAAATTTAAAAAAAAATCTAAAGAATTCACAATTCAGGTATTTCAAGCTATTCGAGGCATTTTAACAATTGTAAGTTGTTTTAGCAATTACCGCGAATTTTTGTGCAATTTACCATTTGCCTGCTTGTTATTAATTTAGTCTCGTGATTCAGTTTTTCGTCGACTAAAACATTGCTCGTGCTGAAAATATTACTAATTGGACCGTTTACTTTGAAAGTGACATAAGTCACTTTGTTTTTAAGTCGATATATTTAAGGATTTGCGTTTTAACACGTTTAAAAATATGGATGCTAACTTTCGAGAAGATTTACTTGTATTTGTTATCTCAGGATACTGATATTTTTCTCAGTATAAATAATTTCGTATAAACATTACAAAATCACCACTTTTCATTACGGTTAAGTGACTTATGCCACTTTCAAAATAAACGGCTCAATTAAAGCTGGCATCTTAAAAATCTGAATATGTCGACAAAATGAACAGCGAAGGTCAACTCTATCCGAATAAATAATTGATAAATAAATCTGCCGTCGTATTTGCTGCATCGATTGCGAAAGAATTACACAGCGAGACTTTTCTCCGATTAATTACAAAGAAAATCACCTGGCGATCGTAGTTGAGCATACGCAGCAAATGAATGCCGTGCACGATGCTCGCTTGATGGAACTTCCTTGTGACGCCCAGCAGCTTCTCGAGTTCCTTTTTGCCGAGATGATCGAGCATCCGAGCGTCCACCATATTGGTGGCGAAGCTCTCTGAATATTGTGCGAGTCCAAGGTCTGGCAGCCACTCGGAGCTGACCCACGTGTGACCTAGTTGAGCAATGCATGGATATCGAACTAGACTCGGATGTCGATGCTCCTCGATAGCTAAACGTAATTTCTTTCTGTGAAGCGGGTGCGTCACCCCCAATCCGGCTTCCAATTCTGCGTCGCTCAGCTCCAGCAGTACCTAAACAATTTTTCACAATTTTAACGAGCCGTCGTTCCAATCGCGCGCGAAACACTTTGCCAGACAATCGCAGATTTTGCCAGTCGTCCGAGCGTTGGCTACGACAAGACAGTTGTTCTTCCAATGTATAATTTTTTGTTTATATTACATGCTTTCAAGAATAATTGTATCCTGTTCTTCTTCTTAATTATTATTATTGATTTAATAATTATTGTTATTAGTGACTATTATTCTTAATTATTATACACATGTTTTTTAAGAATAATTGTATTCTATTGTTCTTCTTAATTATTATTATTAATTTAATAATGATTATTGTGATTAATTATTATTCTTAATTATTATATACACGTGTTAAAGAATAAATGTATCCTATTGTACTTTTTAATTATTATTATTAATTTAATAATGATTATTAGGATTGACTATTATTCTTAATTATTATATACATGTTTTTTAAGGATAACTGTATTCTATAGTTCTTAAAAACATGTAATATAAATGTATAAATAACCCATGACTTACTATTTAAGATTTACGATTGATTAGGATACGGATTATCATTAATAAATCTCATCTGAGATTTCAAAGCTTATAATAAAGAAGAAAAAAAAAGTTGTTCTTCCAGTGTATAAGCACTCGGATAAACGATAATTGAGATGGCATTTCATAATGAGGCGTTAAAGGGTTGTGATGGAAGACATTAGCGTGGGAATAAAAGCGATGACTTAACTTTTTTATTTCTAATTTTCTGCCACGATTCGAAAGGCAATTCGGAGGCCACGTGAAACGATTCGACGGTCGCGAACGTAGTACAGTAAATTCTTTCTAATTGACGCTCAGATTATGCAAAAAAAAAAATGGACGATTTTGGAAAGAGAAGATACGAAAAACGAGGCTCGAATAATCGTACCTTCTCTTCCCAAATTGTCCATTTTCGTGCACAATTTGAGAGAATTGGCCCCCGAATTGCCTTCGAATCGTGTCACGCGGCCCCCGAATTGCCCTAGAATCGTGTCACGTGGCCCCCGAATTGTCCTCGAATCGTGTCACGTGGCCCCCGAATTGCCTTCAAATTGTAGCAAAAAATTGCAAACAAAAAAGTCAAGTCATCCTTTTTATTGTAGCATTACTATGTGAAAAAAAAGGAAACGATACCGCGAAGCCCGAAGAATCGCGACTCGCCGTTCTCGTATCTGCCCGGTTTCAACTCCGACCTCCGAACATTTCCGGGAGAAATTACCGTGCGTTGCCGAAACTCGATCGAACATATATTTACCTTTCCGGACTTGACGTTCTCGGCGCATCGTGGACCATACTGCGGCATCCCGAGCGCAACCTCCAACCATGCCAGCACCGTCGGTGCCCTCCATCGTTCCATAGGCACGGACGCGGCTTCTCTAAGTAAACGGAGCTTCTCTGCGTAACCTTCTTCGGTAAGAGGTGACCATGATCTATATGGATCGAAGCCGTCGGAGCCCTCGTTGCTTCCGCTCCCACCGCTGGAGTTGTTTGCCGCCTTTCGATGCCGGGAACGAGCGAACACTCTGAAAGCCCGATTTAAAATGCGCTTTTCAAACTCGGCAGACAGACCTACCTCCGGCCCACCAATTTCACCACTATTGTCGCCGTTTTACCGTCCCTTATCTACATCCCATTTTAATCTCGTCGCCGTCGTTCCTCGCATTATCGGACCGGCCGATTTCTATCGGAAACGTAATTCCACGTAATTCACTCTTCCGCAGAGTAAAGACGTTCATGGGATTTTGTTCACGTTTGTGCGGTTTTCTCGGAGAGAAACTCGTTCGAAGTTTCTCTGGACGTTTGTCAATTTTATAATTGCATCTGTACACGGTTGTTTACGATTAGAGAAATTCGTTCGAAGTTCGTTCGATACTTTGTTGAAATTAGGTGAATTTTTTTAACCGCGTTCGTCGCGTGTTCGCTAATTAAATTGCAGACAGTTGTGCGACTTTCTTCGCGAGAAATTCGGCTTGAGATTCGCGCGACGTTTTAATCAAGGGGAAATTATATTATTATTATTATTATTATTATTATTATTATTATTTCAACCGAGTCTGTGCAAATTATATTACAGGTATTTGCAACTCGTGAAAACAAAGCTCCGAGTGGAGGCATTAAATAGAAAATTATTTTCCTTGCGCAGAATCCATAAGAATATTCATAAGAAATTTTATCGTGTATCGCATATTTCACCATAAAAATTGACGATTGGTGTTTCTCGAGTCTCGTGATTTATTAACGGAGCATCGAACTTCGATCAAAAGTATAGTAAACGATGGAAGACGTGTCCTAAAATTATGGTACTTCCGGAAGATGTTCCTTAGGTCATTTGAAGAAACTTTTTCCTCAGCGAAATTCTTCTACGAGCCTTCGTTTACGAGTTATCAACGAAAAACACTGACCAATGAGAGGCCAGCTCTGCTGGCGCGGGGCGGCGCCGCCCAGTTCCACTGATTGGCGCGGCCGCCTCGCGCCATCCAGCCTCTCGCCTCTCATTGGTCACTGTTTTTCGTTAATAACTCGTAAACGAAGCCTCGGATTGAATTTTCGCTAAGGAAAAAGTTACTCGAAATGATCTCAGGAATCCCTCATTGCCCAGATGCGCCACAATTCTGGGACACCCTGTGTATCGTGGACAGGAGCGACCAGAACACGTTCGTATACCGAGCAACGCGTCTCCTAACGCCGCTGCGTGCTCGAAAATGGCGGCTCTCACCTGGAAATAGAACCCCACGTGCCGCCTCGTGTTGCAGAAGAACGCGAATGCGCGGCAGGTGCCGCGATAGGTGTGTTTTGTTTGCTCCTTCTCGGCTCGGATTCCAACGGGCTCGACAGCTGTTCCACCGATCGCGATAACGACGAGTTGTCCATAGACCTAGAGAACGCGTTCAGGGGTGACAGCGTGGGGCTGCAGTCCTTCGGCGTGGTCGCTGCTGAAATGAAACGTGCACGGGACCGTGAATCATCGGATCAAGCCCTCCGGCCTCTTGAAAAACTCGACACCGTACTTTGGGGACGCTCCTTGCTACCCCTTTGTGCAGGAAACGTTTATTAGAATTTCTCGGTAGAATTACGTTTTCGTCGCGTCGCGTTCTTGTGATTCAACGATTACGTTTATGCGAAATATACATTGTTCGCATTTATTGCCAGCTGAAAGAACTGTACAGACATATCTATTTTTCTAAGGAGTCGAAAGGATCTCGAAAATAGTTTTAAGTTTTTTTAAAAATTTGTTTCCCTTTTCTTATAATTCATTTATAATACTAATTTTTGTCACGAATGCATAAAATTCGCAGATCAGTTATAATTATATTGCTGCAAATTAAGAGGACATTTTGTCGTAGGACTCTCGACGTTACCTTGACGTAAGCTAGTAAATTAGGGTATGGAACGTGTGTGTGTGTGTGTATGCTAATTAAATAATACTCAAAGAGAAAATATTTATTCGAATTGCGATTTCGATGATGCGTCTGTGCGGATGTTATACGTTCGAGTTTTCCAAGAGTTAGTTGAATGTCTGCTGTAAGCCTGTCGCGAAATTAGTATAACTTTAATTGTTATAATATTATTATATGTAACAAGATAATATAATAATGATAATATATGATATAATAATATATAATATAATGTAATAAGAATGTTATACTCTAATTAAAGTTATAATAAATAATAATGATCATTATACTTTAATTAGTACAACTTTCTTATTATATTATATCATGTATTACCATAACTTTAATTAGTACAACTTCCTTATTATATTATAGTGTATTATATCATATATTATCATAACTTTAATTAGCATAACTTTCTTATTATATGTTATACCATATATTATCATAACTTTAATTAATATAACTTTCTTCCAAGTTCGAACGTATGTATATTTCTTGTACATCGTCGTTTACTTTCATTCCTAGATTTTGCTGACAGTCTCGACTTAAAGAAAGTTAATAACGTTCATATTTAACAGATTACGCATGAAATCATCATCACGAATCCAACAAGTCGTTGCAGTGCAAAGAGTTAACGTTCTTTTTATCATCCAAACAGCAGCTCGACCGTTTCGAAGTTTTTCTAATCGCCGATCGCTAAAAAATTCTCTCGAAACTGCTTCTCGCAAAACGGCGCGGAACGCGAATTACAGTAATGTCTCCCTAACTGACGCCGAGATTGTCCACAGAAATGGACAATTTGGGAAGAGGAGATACGATTAATCGAGCCTTGCGAGCCTCGTTTTTATAATCGTTGACAATTCGTAACTATAAAAACAAACCGCAACGCTCGAATAATCGTATCTCCTCTTCCAAAATTGTCCATTTTTCTGGACAATCCGAGCGTCAATTGGAGAGACATTACTGTACCGAGAAAAGCTGTCTCGAAAAGTGTTGTCGATCGCAGAAGCTCTCCGACGCGTCGCACACGGAACACCGGAACGCTGTTAGGCATCCCTGTTCCAAATACGAACGCATACGCATGCGTCGGCCAACACAGAAGGCAATTAGCCGATTGTTCGAACAATACCGCGGCACGCTGATATCCTTATCGGCGTATCGGCGTTCGCCCGGCCGAGCAAATAAACGAATAACGCGAACGCCGGCGAACAACGATTCCTACGATGAATGACCTCATTGTTCGGCCAATTAGCTACGCAAACGAACAGAGGCAAGATCGAACGGAGAAATTGCCGAACAAATATCGTTCGCGCAAGTCGTTCCACGCACAATGAAACCGTTCGCGGTGGAACGTTATCCGGAAACGTTAATTAGCTCCGCCGCGAAACAGCGTCGGCGAAGCCGGGAGAATTCGCTGACAGTAAAAAAATGCATGGATCCCGTCGTTACCGTCCGTAGCCACACCTGAGGGCCAAGGGACGATCGTGGACAGAAAAAAGGAGAGACAGAAAGGCACACAGAAGCAGGAGGAGCCGCCGGAAGTGGAGGACGGCGACGGAGGAACGGTCGGCGGCGGCGACGATCGCAGAGCGAAACGGAGAAGAATGGCAGATGGAAAAAGGAAGACCGCAGAGGGAATGAGGAAAAACGAGTCTTACCGAGTCTAATTCGTCGTTTTTCATTCGGCCGACATTATCTGGCTCGATAGTGGTCCTCGCAGTCGGAAACACGTATCTAAGCAGATAATGACTGGCGCGCGATGGATGGTTTATAAAAAATGTTTGAACGCGCATAAATGCCTGTGTCCTTGCACAAATGTGTTCAGGGAAGTCCGTAGAATCGTTCGCGATACGAAATATTTGCGTAACTTATACGGAAAAACAGTGAAAAAATGTTGAAATTGAAAGAGTACGAATTCGACGAAATATTTCTCGAAACTCGCTCGCTTCGAAGATTATTTAAACGCGTTTAAATGTATGGAATATTGAAAGAATATATATACTGTTTTACTCGGAAGAGTCCGTAGATTAATTTCCGGTAAAATAGGTTTCAATAACTTTCATAATTTAATCCGGAGAAATGTTTGAAGTTGGACTTTCGATTTCTTGAAAATTGAATTGAATTGAATGAAAAAAAATTATTTAAACGCGATTATTCGTACGAAGAATTTTAACGTCGCGAAGATAGGATAGAGCACGTTCGTCGGAAGAGTCTGCCGGAAGAGCAGCATTTCCCCAGGTTCCGCAGCTGAACCGCGAAAAATCGCACGGGCGAAAAATCCGACACGAAAATTGAGTTTCCCGCGATCCGATGAGAAAACGTATCTCTGATTTCCATTCGACGCGGCCGAGCGAATAAGAAGATCCGCCGGCTATCGGGACACGAGAAGAAGGAGGCAAAAATTCCTCGGATAGCGTATCTCATCGCGAAAGTTAGGCACGAAGGAAATGTGTGCGCTACTCTCGCCCGCGATCGGCAGCCGAATCGCGATTCTCGGCTATCTCGTCGACTCGGCTATCTCGCGAATCGATAGCTCCAATATCCCAAGAAACGAAGAAACGGAGGGGGAGAGGATGATGTCGAGTCGAACACAGAGGGAGAGTAAATAGCATTTTTTTTTCTCGTAATTTAGACATTTTTCGTTGAATAATATTTCCGAACGCGGTAAATTCTCCCTAATTGACGCTCGGATTGTGAACGAAAATGGACTATTTGAGAACAGGGGATACGATTATTCAAGTATTATAATGCGCATTGTTTTTATTGTTGTAAGTAACTATAGAAATCGTATATATACTATAAAGTATGAATAAAGTATACTGTAGTGAGTAAGTATAGTGAAGTATACTGTAAAGTATGTATACTATTAATAATCGTATCTTCTCTTTCCAAATTGTTCATTTTTGTGTATAATTCGAGCGTCAATTTTCTGTAATATTTATGCGAATTTACTGTAGTATTTTATTTCAGCATTGAATGAAATATTATTTCCAAATAGTATTCGCTTGTGCAAATATTTCAATGTTTACTACGTCATATAAAATTATTTCAGTGTTTGCTATTTTATATAAAATTATTTCAGCGTTCACTATTCTATATAAAATTATTTCAGCGTTCACTATTTCATATAAAATTATTTCAGTGTTCGCTATTTCATATAAAATTACTTCAGTGTTCACTATTGCATATAAAATTATTTTAGTGTTCACTATTCTATATAAAATTATTTCAGCGTCCACTATTTCATATAAAATTATTTTAGCGTTCACTATTCTATATAAAATTATTTCAGCGTTCATTATTTCATATAAAATTATTTCAGCGTTCGCTATTTCATATAAAATTATTTCAGCGTTCACTATTTCATATAAAATTATTTCAGCGTTCACTATACTGTATAAAATTATTTCATATTTTCCCCAGCACAGACAGAAACAGACAAAAACAGAGAAAGAGAGAGAGAGAGAGAGAGAGAGAGAGAGAGAGAGAGAGAACAGAGAGAGAGAGAGAGAGAC